AACCACTCAACCCAGAAGTGATGGCACAGTGGAAAAGCCAAACAGGACTGACTATCTATGAAGGCTACGGCCAAACCGAAATTGTACGTTCAGCTTTTTTGTAAAGGGTTACAACTCAGCTGTCACTTAAGGGACTTAGAGATCTCATTCCACCTGGTAAATATGGAATTTGTCTAAAAAGAAAGACAGGCATTAGAGTATGTGGCAATTGTCTACAAGAGGGTTTATTGTTTTGCTTAAAGTTACGGCTTGGTTGTGATACTGCTTCTAAGACTACTTAAGCTGTAAAATATCTTGAACTTTTTTGTCCAAGACTCTCAATGTTTCAGCTCACATAGATGGAAGATTTAGATCTCATGCTAGCTCAACAGTGGGCATAGTATAAGAACAGAAATAGCCTCAGGAATGACAGTGAAAAATACCTGGGCTGGTTGGTTGTCTTTTCCAACAGGGAATTATATGTGCAAATATGAAAGGAATGAAAATTAAGCCGGGTTCCTTTGGAAAGGCAACTCCCCCCTGCGATGTTCAGGTATGATGGTCCTCTTTTTTGTTTGCTGTTGATTTCATAGGAAGTAAAACACAAGACAGTACAATGTACTGTACAAGTTTTGGTACCACACAGTGGTATTCAGGGCAGGCTCTTTTTTGATTGAGCTGTTGGCTGCTGGTTAGGTTCAGAACACGGCTCTCTTAAAACAGCAAGTTAAAATCACCCATTTGCCTTTCTTATTGCAGATTGTAGATGAAAATGGCAGTGTTCTGCCTCCTGGGAAAGAAGGAGACATTGCTATCAAAATGGATGCCAAGCGGCCATTTACTTTTTTCACTCGATACCTGGTAAGTCAAAAGTGAATTTCTGGAGAGCCTGTTCAGGCCTGCAGCATGGTATGTATTGATACCAGCAGAAGCAGGTGCGACACCAAGGAGCTGTGGCTCTTCTTGACTTGACTTGACAGTGTTATGACTTAAGCTTCCATTTTCTCCCCCATTTTTCTGCAGACTTACTGCGTGATCTTCAGGTCTGTCTCTGCCCTTGTGATAAGTTTTCCCCTCTGGAACAAGCAAACACAAGCTCTTACGTTCTTGAGACAGAGAACAAGCAGTGAAAGATACTATGAATAGTGTCCAAAGACGCAAAGCTCATCTCTAAGCTTAAGACTTCTCAATATTTAGAATATTTAATTGTTGCTTGTTCAACAGGATGATCCAGTGAAAACTGCTTCTACAATCCGTGGGAATTTCTATATCACTGGAGACAGAGGGACCATGGATGAGGATGGATACGTATGGTTTATAGGGAGATCTGATGATGTCATCATCTCCTCTGGGTTTGTAGATTTCGGGTAAAATGCCAAGAAATATTTAAAAATAACCATATACCTTTCACGTACTAAGCATTTAATTTCTCTCTCCTAGGTATCGTATTGGACCTTTTGAAATAGAAAGCGCCCTGATACAGCACCCAGCTGTTGTTGAGTCAGCCGTTGTCAGCAGCCCAGATCCCATCAGAGGGGAGGTAATGAGCGGTCGCTCTCCTATTCAAAAAGTGCCTTGTGTGACAGAGCTTACACTCAACTTTCACTGGATTCATAAGACTTATGAAAAGATAATACTTTTATCATGTATTACTTAGGACCTTTACAGGTAAAAAACTGTTTCAGGTAGAAAGAGTCTTTTGTCCTAATTTTAAATTTGCTTACACAAAAGCGAATTTTGCTCTACTGCACAAGCGTGCTACAGCGAGCCTGTATTGCAGGCAATACTCATTTAGTCTCGATTAATTGCCTCATTTGTTAGGTTGCTTTTGTTTAATTAATACTGTATTTTTTATTTATTTTCCCTTTGTAGGTGGTAAAAGCTTTTGTAGTCTTGTCTCCTTTCTTTAAGTCACAGGATCCAAAGAAACTGGCCTGTGAATTGCAAGATCATGTCAAGAAACTCACTGCTCCATACAAGTACCCCAGAAAGGCAAGTAAACATGACCTCAAATATGTGCTGTTCAAGAAAAATTACAAGTATTATTTTAAAGAAGATTTTGGAAAATAATAAATACAACACAATCTAAAACCAAATTAGAGTTATTTCCCCAGTCACCAAATTCTTATTTAAATTGAGTAGGATGGAGACCTATACTGTTCTGAAAACAGATTTGTAAATGAAATCTGCTCATTTTACTTTCTTTTTGTTTGTTTTGCATCAGATTGAATTTGTCCAGCAGCTGCCAAAGAATATCGCTGGGAAAATCAAACGGAATGAACTGAAAAACAAAGAGTGGGGACAGATTTAGTTTTGATAAGCAACCTAAAAAAGCCGGTGCCTATCAATTTCATTCATAATGGAGCTTTTCTGTTACAACTGTAAGCACCAACATAGGATTATCTTTCACCCGTTAGGCAGTGATTGTGTAATAATCATAGAATTGTAGAACAGTTTGGGTTGGAAGGGACCTTAAAGCTCATCCAGTCCCAACCCCCCTGCAGGGACACCTTCTACTAGACCAGGTTGCTCCAAGCCCCATCCAGCCTGGCCTTGAACACTGCCAGG